GTAGAGACACTGGCCAGCAATCGACTTATTTTCAACTGGGCCGCCAGCAAGCTTCGCGGAGGAAAAGCTGGTTGTCGGAGGGCTGATATCCGGTCGAGCTGATCCATCAGCACCAACGTCGTCATTAACTCAGGCATATCTGATATCAGATTCAAGCTAAAAATATAATTCATCTGGCATACATCTCTGGACGAAGAGTTATCTGGCTTGAAATTAAGGGCTTAAAGGTGAAGCATGTGATCGGTCTACACCTGGAAAGTTGCCGACACACACGACTGGAAGTGCATCTGCCGCTGATTGGGGAGTTGGTCATCCGTCCAGTAGACGACGCGTATCCCGGGGTGTTCGTCACGATAGATGTCCACTAGCATGGCAGCGAACATTAATGTGAAACGTGTAGGCGAGAGGACGCAATCCTGCTTCACTCCGTTAGTCCCTGCGAATGCCTCTGACACGGTTCCATTGTCCGTGACGTGTGCCGTCAATGCCATCGTGGACTTGACGCACCATCTGAGTCAGTCGTTCGGGACAGCCGAATTTCTGCATGATTTTCCACAGTCCTTCACGATTAACCATGCCGAAGGCTTTCGCCAGATCTACGAAGGTAGAGAAGGATCCGAATTTCCTGGTACCTCTCCAGCAGTTGGCAGGTGACGAAGAGCATGTCGGTGGTTCCGCGATGACGGCGGAAGCCGCACTGGCTTTCCAGTAGAAGACCTTGTTCTGGGTGGTTGTTCAGGCGGTTGAGAAGGATGTGAGCGAAGATCTTCTCGGCGATGTTTAGCAGGGCGATGCCTCAGCGATTGTCGTAGAGCTGGCGATAACCTTTCCGCGTATAGAGATGGAGGATTATGGCGTCCTTAAAATCCTGGGGGACTTCTTTTTGGCGCCACATCTTCTGGAAGAGGGTCGTCGAAGGATCCATGAGTTGGAGCCACCGTATTGGTAGCTCTCAGCAGGGGTCACTTTCGATCCCGGCGCCTTCCCGCAAGGCCGTAGGAGTGTCAAATTTGAAGTCCCCGTGACGGTCGTAGTAGATCGCTCGCTTGGTTGCACGTGTAGACTACAGCTCACGTCCCTTACTTGGCACCCAACTCTCACCTGTGGGTCCCCGACTTCAGGTTCTGAGCAGTGGCCACACCCCGACAACGGCCTTGACCGGCGGGCTGACCCAGGTGATGGTATCCGTTCGTGAATCTCCACACACGGTAACTCGGATCCGCTCCCACCACGGCTGGCCAGATGGACCGCCTTGGCATCTGCGAGATGAGGCTTCGCCCGCAAATACGTTGGAGGCCACAAGTTAAGTGACCGCCCAGGTAAGCCAAATGTCATTTAGTTTTCTTTGCATTTTGGTTGTTCTTGCTTGCTTTCCTCTGTCTATTATTTTTTTGTCCTTCTTATAAGCTAAATGCCATTTTGTTGAATTTGTCTGCTCACCGTTCACACGTTAGCAACCCCTTAGCTTAGAGAGGGACGGGAAAGCTCTGCTCTCCCCTCGTTTCCCCTATCACCACTCAAATTTCCTACGGCCAGAGCTAAAGCGATCACGTAGGCGGTCAAGGCTAACTCGAGTCCTTATCCTAATAAACAAAGTCGTGGCCCATAGTGGAGTCCGGCAGCCGTCTGGGATAGCTAATCAGTCTTATTTAGGTACAGCGCCGCTTACATCCGCATGGGGGTTGGGGCTAGAAAAGGTACTTAGGAAGACCGATGCTGGGGTAACGTCCCCTGCGCGACAAACGTGGCTTGCAGACGCAAAACATACGGTCGAAACAACCAAATCAGCAAAAACACACTCTCTCTTCCCCCTCCTTCTTCGCCGCCCCACCCCACACGCAAATAGGGTGAGTCCGCTCTCTCTAGCAGCCTGGAAGGTTCGTGCCCTTTAAGACAATTCGAGGAACAACCGACCAGAACGGAGGACGACGCTAGTGGCCGGGGAACAGGCGCGCTTCAAGGTGGACATCGTTGCAGTCAGCGAGACCCGCTTCCTCAAACAAGGCCAAATGGAGGAGGTTAGTGCTGGCTAGACCTTCTTCTGGGGCAGTCGTCCCAAGGCAGAGCGACGGGACGCTGGCGCCACCTCTGCCATCCGGAACGACATCGTGGGACGCCTGCCCTGTTTGCTGCAGGGCATCAACGATCGCCTGATGAGCCTCCACCTGCCTCTCCGGGGAGGCAAATTCGCCCCCATTGTCAGCGTCTACGCCCCTCCCCGATGACCAGCCCTGGAGCTGCAAGGAAAAAATTCCACGAGGGCCTGCAAGCCTCCTGGCGTCTGTGCAGAAGGAGGATAAGCTGATTGCTCTTAGTGACTTCAACGACCGCGTCGGCACAGACCATGCTGCCTGGAGGGGAGGACTAAGTCTCCGTGTGTTCGACGGCTCCAAGGACAACGGCCTATTTCTTCCATGAAACTACGCGAACACCTCCTCACCCCAACGAAACCATCCGCCTTCCGGCGCGAGAGAAAGCCACCTGAATGCACTCTCGGCTGCGATACTGGCACTCGCTGAACTATGTCCTCGTCCGGTGGCGAGACCAGCGGACGTGTTGGTGACAAAGGCGATTCAGTGTACTGACGTGTGGATTGTTCCGCTACCATCTCCGACGCCGCCATCGGCCGTACGCCTCAAGTGGAGACCAACGCCGACCTCGATCTCGTGCCCTCTCTACACGAAACGAGCAATGCGGTGCAGCAGCTCTCCAACGGGGATTTTTCAGAGGCGTTTTGTTATTTCTGATCGGCAGCAACCGTCCTTAGGACAGAAACCAAACTGACAGCTGCAAGCAGCACTAGTATAAAATGTGAAATCAACGGGAAGTGAGGGATGTGAAACACGTCCTACGCAAACAATGAAACTGCAGTATTTACTGGATGCAGGATGCGGAAGGACAAGGAACTTTTAGGACAGTTTACATAGCTGAGCACTCGGAAGTTTGAATTTCTCTCACAGATACCCGCAAAAGCGCACACACAAGAGGAAGCTGTGGAAGCTGATAGATGGATACAGCGAACTGTATGACGGCACAAACAAAACTGAAAATCTGTCCCAGTTTATCTCATTTCGTTTTACTTTTGCGTTATCATACTAGTTTACAAGAACACAAGGGCTCTGACTAGTGAAAACATATTCTTCGTCAAGAAACGGTTTTTGAGGAGTAAGGAACTTGGAGGGAGGTAAGTCCCCAGGCCATGTGAGACCCCAGAAGAACTCAGACAGCTTCCACTAGAACTGGTTAAACCCCTATTTGCTCTATTCCAGGGCTACTTTCACACGGAAACTGTCTCAGTTTAATCGAAAACGGCGCGCACTACATCTATTCATAAACATGATAATTGCGCGCTTGTGATTCAGTACAGGCTCGGATGCTTAACTGTTAAAGTAACCGAAAACACCATTGAGACGGAACTGGTGATTTACTCGGTAGTTTGGTGCTTTCTGTCCGACGCAAAATACGCTTTCCACAAGGAGTATCTTCCAGTGATTCACTAAAAACAACCTGCCTTCTGCCCACGCGACTAGAGAGAGGCCTGTGATTCACTAGCGGACCCCTGAAAATTGGCAGTGTTCGTTATCCTGTATGGGCTTCTTAAATGTATCCTCCTCACTCCTCTTTAGTTTGTTCACATATAATCACAAACAGAGTATGCGGCTGTATGAATGACGTTCTAGATGATCAGCGCTGGGCTCTCTTTTCTTTCTCATATTTATTAGTGGCTGTGCGCATGAAATGAACTGCGAAAGTGTTGTATTCACGGGGGATATCAGGATCCAGAGTGTCACCCACAGTGCAGCTGGCAAAGTTAGTGTTCAAACAAATCATAGCCAACAATAACAGTGGTCCTGCCGTTGGGGTGTATTATCTGTCCGAGCAAGTCTATCTTACTGAAATCAAAAACCTATTCCCTTGTAGACACCGCTATTACTAGAACAGTATGCCGCCGAGGCGTACAAAAACACAGAGTATCACTGAAGCTCGGACAACAAATGCATAAAAGACTTCTGCACCCCGTTCTAAGGCGGCTAACCTGTAACTTCAATGGTGTTGAAAAAATCCGGCTCATGCGAACTTCGGTAAAGGTTGCTATCTTGAAGTCTCCGCAACATTTTTAAGACCAAACTTTGACTATGCAAACAGGACAGTATGACCGCAGCTGTACCAATAAGGTTAGAGCGGTGGGTTGCCAAATTAGTCAGGTCTAGAGGGACACTGCCAAACGCAAGACGACGGATAAGTTGCTTTGATCTCCCCATCATTCATTTTTTACATTATCTTTTATGAATGTACGGCAAAAAATGCTTTTTGTCCTGCAAAACTGATATTATGCAAAGGAACCGAGTGTTTGCTTCGCAAGCGCAGACTCACTTTACATCATATTCAGCATCTATCCGCAAGATGCGTAAATCCTTTGTTTGAGTTTATTTCCACCTGCTATTCCTCAGCTTCAGAATGGTCAACAGCCTACTAATTCAAACAATTCTTCAGGTTGCTCAAAAGAGGAAAGTGTGCTGCCAAGTCATACCCACGGGAGGACAGTTTAAATATAGATTTCGCGCAATTGCTTGTTCTTCAGAAATTTGTTTTAACAACTGCCTGATGACTGTGGTCGTGAGAGTGGTTTGCTCAACTTGTTGCTAAATGCCTTATCTTTGTCCTCCATTGCAGGATGCAAAAAGTCCACGTCGTTGGTTGAAATCGGTCGCCGGCTACCGTAACTGCTTTTTCATTTTCTTCATCATATGTGAAATTTGTAATTACCATTTTTAATATTATATCCCACCGAGTGGTGACCTACATGTTAGAATTCATGCTGATAAATGATCCTGTAATGTTGACCCTCGAAGCCTCATAGTCTATTTACTTATGGTGTTGTCAAATTGGAAATAGATGCCAGTCGCTCAGTCGGACTGTCAAGCAACACTTTGTCGTTTAAGCTACTGTTTAAGTCCGGATTCCATATCACAGCCGTTGCTGACTATACGGCTGCCTTAATGCATGAATTATTTGTACCATGTCCTAGGGGACGATTTCGTGTGGACGCTTTCCGTCATTACTAAATGCTCTGTAAAAAGATTTCAACATTTTTAAAGTACGTATTGAACGCAATCTCTGAACACATAATAAAGCATTGACAGATCACCGCTACTGGATACGATGGACTAACAGCTGATGCATTGCTGGGTTACTATGTGAATCCCGAACGTGGAAACAGCTCATGTGTGGCTTCTGCGCTAAAACCAAGTATTTAGGATTTTCGAAATTTTTACGCCCTGCGTCGTCCTGTCATTTCTATAATATATATGTATTAAGACGATATTTCAAGAATCGGGAGAAGGTCCAATTATTTGAATGCGAAACCGTCCAATGGCGAGGCGACTTATAGGATATTCTATAGGAGTCGCCCAAATCCGATTCCTCCGAATTACGGGCGGCCGCATGGGGACTAGCTACAAACTTTTCACGTCACGAGTGGCTTAGGCTACGTCTTTAAGCGTAACAAAGACTTTGTTTCCGACAGTTCGAAAAGCCGCTGCGAGCACCTCATCGATACGCTTGTCTCAGAGAATGCTAGATGTGAAGAAGTAATCTTCTCAAAGCAGGTGATAAAACATCGGAATGCTCTGCCTGGGACGACTATAATGTTTAGGTTCATGCAAACGTGAAAACACTGCTTTAACAGACACATGCGACAGAACCAAGCAAGCTATGCAACTGCGTGAATAATTTATAATCTTCCTTGTGGGAAATTTAGCCTTGTCCCAGTAGTCACTGCGGAACTCACATTGTTGCCAATACCTCCGGTTTGTATGCGGGACATGAGAAGTTCAAAGTCGCACGTCTATTTCCTTTCAAATACTCGGCACAACAAAGAATATTGCTAACTTCAAACGACTAAGGACTCTAGAAATCTGATCCTACTTGTTAGTTTCTCATACACTCAGTCGCCTTGACTTCCACACAGGATTTATTTTATTACTGCACATTTAGATACAGCAAATACCTAATTTTACTACCCAGTCCATAGGTAACTGTCGCACAGAGTGAATTTTGCCCGTCTTGCTCCCAAGTGGTCACAGCGATTAAGTGACTTTTATGGATTTGCATGGAGATGTACCTTATGGGTACATTGGAAAGTGAATACAATTGAATATCGGGAAACCTCTAAAATCTTTTTGAAACACTCACGCGATCATCATGTGATTTTCTGTTTACTGGTTGGGGAA